AGAAGTAGCACCAATACAATCGTCAATGTAGCGACCAAAAAGCTCAGGTTTAATGCCTGGATAGAGATCAAAAATCTGTTGCTCGATGTAGCCAACAAATAAATTAGCATAGCTAGGTCCCATTTTGGTGCCCATAGCTACACCGTTAATCTGTCGAAAAAAGCGGTCGCCAAAGGAAAAACAATTAAGGGTGAGAACAAGTTCAGCTAAACGCAATAAAGTAGGAGTGCTAGGTTCTAAAACGGTGCAACATTTCCAGCGTTTTCATTCGCATAATAAATATAGTGGTGTTGATTAAAATAAAAATGTTTTTTTTCCTCTCGTAAAAATGATTGAAAATTAATACAAAAAATATTTAGTCAAGTTTGTTTAATTTGTCTGCTACGTTTCGTCCATCCAGACACAATTCAGAACCTCCACAGGCATAATCATTGCCATAACAACGACCATAAACAAATCAAGATCCACACAAATAGCGGAAAGTCTAGAAAAGACTATTTACAATAACATTCTTCCAACCCACAGCGGTGTACTTTCAAAATTTCACAGAATTAGCATTTTTGGTTTTAGCGAAAAGCAACATTTTATTTTTTACATTTTCTTTAGATCGAGAAGAATTTTGTCATGACGAGTTGTCAATGGTAACGCCGAAGAAGCTTCATCTAAAGAGTTCACTGTATTGATGTATAAAGAGCAACTCCTCTGGAAAACAAGGAAATTCTTGCTATAGCTGCAAAGGTATGTCTTAGTCTTGTTTGGAAGAAAATTCTGTAACTTTTTAGGTTGAATACCTTTTGCTCTAATGCTGTCTTTTATAATTCGTTTAGTTTCGTTGCCGTTTGGTAGCTTAAATATATGGCGTACGAATTTCACTAAGTTTAGCTCGTAAACTAAGTTACAATTCAAGGCTTTACAAGGCTTTGAGAGATTTTACCAATTTGAATTACCAGTATTTTGGCCTGTTCCGCGGAAAAACAACTGAAAGTACGATAGGAAGTTTTTTGACACCTAAAGAAGCGGGATAATTGATAGGGAAAATGCGTGTTGATGATTATCCGATAATGAAAGCAGTAGCCACATTCACTATGAAGATTTTCTGTCCTTGAACATATGAAAACCTTTGAAAAACTGAAAAATATTTCAAAATAAGTGGCTTTCTATTTGCAGTATAACATCTGGAAAGAGCACCGTGACAGAAACGTATATAGTCGATCCTTTCGCTTATTTTATTCATTCGAAGCTATTCGACAAATTAGTTCTGAATTAACTCACTTTAGCTTAAGCAAAGTCAACCAACGTACTCGCTTGTCTAAAAATTTAGAGCATGGACTAAAATTCTATTAATTTAGTTTTTCATAGTCTGACTTTTATTTAGTAATTATCGCTCTATCTCGACAGAAACATGATGGATCCCACCATGAAGATAAATGTCCTGATATTATTGCTGTTTTGTATCGCAGCGAGTGTTGGTAAGTGATCAGTCTGAAACTTTGTGCTCATATAAAAAGCGTTGAATAAACTTGGGAGTATCGTGAGTTGAAAAAAGGAAAAGGGAGGAAAGGAAGAAGAGGAAGTTGAACCCGCCATCCCACGTTTACGCAGCACTCGTAAAGCATGACGGGAAACATCGGAATAAAAAAGTTCGTGACTCCCAGGGTGCATTGCGCGCTAAAACCTGGTCTCCACTTATTTCTCCCTTGACTAAATACTCACACGGTTATTTCATATTTTTAAAGGAGCAGCAAGTAACAGCACAACCGAATGGTACACAGAACCGGAAGAGATCAGTGATTCTATCCCAGTGGCCATTACGATCCTGGTGATTCTCATCCTCCTGCTGCTGATATGCATTATCATTGTCCTATTGGTTTGCATAAGACTGCTGTCCAAATCTACCAGGTACGAAGGCAGAGGAAATACAGTCTGCGTTGCGTGATTGTTGTCTGGAGAGGGGGAGGGGAGGGGTGTGTCAAGCAAGACAGGCTAGATTGAACAAAGCTATCGCGTTTACACCGGCTAGGCGAACAGTCCAGGTTTTGGGACTGTGAGAAATTACGAGAAAGTTTTTACAGCAAGACCAGTGAGCCAATCACATTATGCGTGAGATTATGAGTGTTTGAACAATCTGAGTGTTAGCACACATTACGATCAAAATAAGTGTACTGCATCACAAGGATAAATACAGCGCTCGCGCATGTCTCTGTACTGTGATATAAACACGCTGAGAGCTGTAGAGCTCAAGAAAAGCAAACTTAGGAAAACGAGGCGTACCCGAGTGTTTCTCTCGCTTTACGAGTTTGTTTATATCACAGTATATACATAAGCAGCCGTTTTATATTACTTTTACTTTTGTAAAGTATTTAGAATGATTTTGCATGAGCGTGTCTCTGTCCTATGATACAAAAGAGGTAACAGCCAATCTGCGCGCTACATATCTAAATACTTTATAATACGTTTTTCTTACAGTCGTATAGGGAATTTCGAGTTCCAACTTACCGCTGTGTTCCTTGATTACAAACTCATTTACTCAGGCTTAACCTTGTATCATTGTCTAAATAATCACAAATACCAACGGTAATGTAGAGAATGCACAACTTCTACAAAACAAACACTTTGAAATTTCACAGATTTTCACTGGAACACTTGAATATTCTGCAAAAGTTGAACCTAACCCTGAGCAACAGAGAACTCGAAACTGGAGTATTTCCTGGATTCTTAAGTTTCAGATGTTCTTATCTTGTTAGTTTATACATACAATTTGCATGAGTTGCAACAACTAAAATTTTCCTCTCTGTTAACAGAAGTAAAGATCTAGAACCAGATCCATCTGTGAGAAGCAACAGGAATGAGTCGTCACATGAACAGCACAGTTACCCACCTGAACAGCGCATGGAGCCTGTAGGAGGACATCAACAACAGCAACAACACACTCCAGTCATTTACGTGTCCCCTCAAAGCCAGCCTCGGAAGAGTGAACCCCAACAATACTCTATCCCTGGCCATGTTTGTGTGTGCAATGAATGTAAAGAAATCAGAAAACAACAAGGGAAGAGCCAACCCCAAACATGAGCTAACATACAAACCACATTGTTTCAATTGACTTTGTCAAACGTTGCTAATTAAGTTGATTATGTCACGGTGGTAACAGTTTCATGAGAATACGACCTCTTAGTATTCATTCAGCCATGCACATACCTGTCATCTTGATTTTGAACGTTGGGTATTTCATCCCCCGGAAGGGGTGACTCTTGAAAAGTGGCTAGGGGGGCTCGACGGACGGTTTTGAAAATGACCCTAAAAGGTGCGCATAAATTAACTGAGATGCTGATTTTAGACCCTAAAAGGTACGACCACATTTAAAATGACGTTTCCAACCATTATATGTATGACGTTTGATATTTTTCAAAACAAACAAATCTGATCCTAAAAGGTAGAGTCAGACGGGAGTCAGCCGGAGACCCTAAAAGGTACGCGAGGTCTCATTTTCGACCCTAAAAAGGTCTGTTGAATCCCCCTACCCACTTTTCAAGAGAGTCCTCCCCCCGGGTTTTATCCTAGGCCGTACGTACATTATATACCATCTATACATGTATATCACTCAAGAATCGAGCTAAATGTCATTGGTGACAAAACCCCAAACATCATTTTTTACGCAAGTAATAAATCTTTCTTCTTCTCCTTCCATAAAATATTAGAAAATTTATCATATTAACAAAGCATTTCTGGCTCCAATGCAAAAAGAACGTAAAAACGTCCAAAATTAACTACTAGTATTTTGAAAACCATAGACTTATACTCCAGAGCTCATTTGGCACAAATTTTCACACCTTTTATCATTCAATCTCACCAGGATATATTTTTTAAAGTAAAGGTCATTTTTAATGGTTTTTGGCTATACCAATTTACTATTACCATTGGACCGTTTTAACATTCCTCTTTCATCCAATCATCTCGAGTGTATTTTTACCAGTACCATTATTTTGGATGTTTTTGGCCAAAAAGCATGGACTATAGCCCATGGTTTTGATGGATTTTGGATGTTTTTCACACCTTTTTCAAATAAATGCATTATTCAAAGAATATTCAAAATGGGTCATTTTTGTCCAATAGCATGGACTATAGCCCATGGTTTTGATGGATTTTGTGTGTTTTTCGCACCTTTTTCAAATAAATGCATTATTCAAAGAAAGTTCAAAATGCATCATTTTTGTCCAAAAGCATGGACTATAGCCCATGGTTTTGATGGATTTTAGGTGTTTTTCACACCTTTTTCAAATAAATGCATTATTCAAAGAAAGTTCAAAATAGGTCATTTTTGGCCAAAAAGCATGGACTATAGCCCATGGTTTTG